CATACTGGACTTAATCCTTACTAATAGAGAAGAAGCGATAGAGGGAGTTGAAGTTACCGGAACCTTGGGTGAAAGTGACCACGTCATATTGAAATTTAATATAACGCAAACACTAGCAACAGAAAACAATCCAACCAGCGCCTTAAACTTCAAAAGAGCTGACTTTAACAAACTCAGAAAGAACCTAGGAAAGATCCCATGGATAAAAATCCTAAAGGGGAAAACAATCCAAGAAGCGTGGGAAACTCTGAAAAAATGCAATCATAAAAGCCCAGTCTAGCACAATACCACTGAAAAACAAAAACAAGAAATTCAAGAAGAAACTAGCATGGCTGCACAAAGATCTCTCTGACAAATTGAAAGACAAAAAGGACAAATACAAAAAAATGGAAAGAGGGTCACATAACTAAGGCCAATTATCAGCAGACAGCCAGAACACGCAAAGATGAAGTCAGGAAAGCAAAGGCTCAGAACGAACAAAGACTTGCAACAGAAATCAAGAATAATAATAAAAAGTTTCTTCCAATATATGAACAACAAGAAAAAGGACAATGAAACTGGAGGTCCACTAAAGAGAAAAGATGACAAGGAAATAACAGCCAACAGGGAGAAAGTAGAACTGCTTAATTCATACTTTGCATCAGTCTTCACACAAAAAGAAACCATAGCCCAACATACCAAAAAAAACCACTGCAAAAGACAAATTATAAATAAAAATTAAAATAAGCAGGAAAATGGTAAGAGAACACCTGTCTGACCTTGACAAATGTAAATCAGCAGGACCTGACAGATTACATCCCAGAGTTCTGAAGGAGCTGGCAGATGTTATCTCAGAAAAAAATTGCACCATATCTTTCAAAAATCCTGGAGCACTGGGGAAGTACCTGAGGATTGGAAAAGGGCTGATGTGGTTCCCATCTTCAAAAAAAGGGAAAAAAATGGACCCAGGAAACTACAGACCAATCAGTTTAACATCAATACCTGGGAAGATCCTGGAAAAGATAATTAAAAAACAGATCTGCAAACAACTAGAAGCAAACAAAGTTATAACTAGTAGCCAGCACGGGTTTGTCAAAAACAGATCATGCCAAACCAATCTCATCTCATTCTTTGATAAAGTGACTAAACTAGTAGACCAGCGAAACGCAGTGGACGTAGTATACTTAGACTTCAGTAAGGCATTTGATAAGGTAGACCACAACCTACTCCTTGGTAAGCTAGGAAAATAGACAACATCACCATCAGATGGATCTGTAGCTGGCTGGCAAACTGTACTCAGCGAGTAGTCCTCAACGGCACTACATCTATATGGAGAGGAGTAAGCAGTGGGGTACCACAAGGCTCCGTCCTAGGCCCATGACTCTTCAATATCTTCATCAATGACTTAGATAATTGAAGAGGAACTCATCAAATTTGCAGATGACACCAAACTGGCAGGAGTAGCCAACACCCCAAGACAAACTCAGGATCCAAAAAGATCTTGACAGACTTAAACAATGGGCCCTATCCAACAAAATGAGTTTCAATGTGGAGAAAAGCAGAGTCTTACATTTAGGCAGGAAAAATCAAAGGTACAAGTACAGATTGGGCGAGACCTGGCTTAAAAACAGCAACTGTGAGAGGGACCTTGGAGTCCTAGTGGACGATCGCTTGACCACGAGCCAGCCGTGTGCAGCAGCAGCCAAAAAAGCTAACACAATCCTGGGTTGTATAAACAGAGGCATAGAATCAAGATCACGCGAAGTATTAGTACTGCTTTATAAAACCCTAGTGAGGCCACACCTGGAGTATTGCAGCCAATTTTGATCACCATATCACAAAAAAGATGTTGAGAGTTTGGAAAAAATTCAGAGAAGAGCAACTAAGATGATCCAAGGCCTGGAGACCAAAACATATGAACGGCTGCAGGACTTGGGTTTGGCTAGTCTAAAGAAAAGAAGAAATAGGGGAGACAGGATAGCAGCGTTCCACTATTTGAGGGGCTGCCCCAAAGAAGAGGAGGGGGTCAAATTATTCTCCAAAGCACCAGAGGGAAGGATGAGAAACAATGGTTGGAAACTGACCAAAGAGAGAAGCAACCCGGAATTAAGGAGAAACTTCCTGACAGGGAGGACAATTAACCAGTGGAACAGCTTGCCACCAGAAATCGTGGCGCTCCATCACTGGAGATTTTTTAAGAAAAGGCTAGACAGTCACTTGTCTGAAATGATATAGGTTCTCCTGCTTAAGCAGGGGGCTGGACTAGAAGATCTCCAAGGTCCCTTCCAGCTCTATTCTATTCTGACGGCACAAAAATGTGGGATAAGGGGAGACTAATGGACTGCCCATTGCCAGATACCGGAATTTTAATCTTTGCTCTCTAGTTTTACTTTGAAATGCAGGCACACAGATCCTACCCTCTGCCAGTCATCCACAGATAATGTCCATTAATTTCCAAAATGCAGACTCCTGACTTTTAGACAGCTCTCATTCCTATGCATATATTTTTTTTTCTCTTCCATACTTTCCTATGAGGTCATCAAACAGGCTGGAAGGGAGAAACCTGAAATAAGGTCGCCAAAAGACTAGAAATGAATGCCAATTGGAGGTTATTTCCAAAAGAGGGGGGGGGGGAAAGAAAGCGTGCAAAAGGTTATAAATAGATAGCACTAGAAAGCACGAATTCAAGATACGTATTTGCTATCCATTTCTAAAATGTCCTTAACTTCCAAAAACGAGATGAAACAATAGGTTTCTTATATAGTCTCTAGATTTAATACATTTAAATATTGAATTAATCTTGCATTAATATTTTATACAGCTTATTCTGTCCTGGTTTTTTTTTTTTCAATTTATGTTCACTTGTAACATATGCAAGGGTTTTTTTTTAACCATACAAGATCTGATGTATTTTTTTTATATTGTAATAAAAAAAAGTAGATTGAGTTGAATTTTGTAAGGAAAGGAGCTTTAAGACAACACAAAGGCTATAGGGCGTGTATGTGTATATGTGTGTGTGTGTGTGTGTGTAACTTTTTTGTACATATGTTCTATTCTTCCAGAGAGATGTCACAAAACCTGTGAGCAGCTTAAGACAAAATCGGCTTAATCTCATGTTATTTCATAGCACCCCAAAGGCAAATAGCATTTTTTTTTTAAAAAAAAATACAAGCTATCTCCTGCTAGAAAAAAAAATAGATTATCTTTTTTTTTGATGCGGAGAACTGCAAAGCATCCATTCCTCCTCAGACATTTTTCCTCCTGATAAGATTAACAAGGCTACATCACACTGTGTGTTTCTTAAATAATACCCTTTCAGGATGTGGTGTTGCAATCACATAAAGCCAGTTTTGAGTCGCTCTGGAGAAAGAGGAAAGCATTTCCAAACATATTACAATCTCCCCCCCACACACACACACACACCACCCCAAATCAGACAGTCTGTAGCTCCTTTTCCCTCTGTCAAAAGCTTTTGCATACGATTTGACGGTCAAAAAAGGAGCCACAGACACCTTGATTTTTTTTCACCGATTCGTGAAAAGGAATGGAGCTCTTCCAAGGGACCTGACATCAATCCCCCCACACACACACATCGGGTGCCAAGGGCAGCGACAGCAAAGGAGAAAACCCAGTTTGGCACAAACAAGCCATTTGTAAAAGACGACAACAACCTGCTGTGGTCCTGGCTTGGTGGTCATTCCTCCAACATCCTTCCCAGCCCAAACTCTGCCAGGTGGACAAAGCCTGGGCTGGGTTGGCATTGCCAATGCCCACCTGTCCCCTCCCCCCCACTCAACCCCCCAAGGCCACCTAGATAAGATCACCTTTATTGTCATTTTTTTTACTGTGGACACTTGGCAGACATTGAAATTCTGTTGCCTGCCCTCAAAAGCGTACACACACATAACACACATATAGACACGCTATTATGCACACATATGTACACGCCTATACCCTTACCCATAAATAAATATCCATATTAATTCCCTGTGCAATTGATGCAACCTGCTGCGGTCCTGGCTTGGAGGACATTCCTCCCAACATCCTTCCCAGCCCAAGCTCTGCCAGGTGGACAAAGCCTGTGGGGTTGGTCTCCAGGCTGGGTTGGCATTGTCAATGCCCACCTGCCCCCTTCCCACTCAACCACACACACCCCGCCAAAGGCCACCTAGATAACCTTTATTGTCCTTTTTTTAACTGTGGGCACACTGGCACACCTCCAAAACGAAATTGTTGCCGGCTCTCCAAAGCGTACACACGTCCCTAACACACACATACAGACATGCTATATGCATACATACATACAGATCGATAAACAAATATCCATATTAATCCCTGTGCAATTGATGCAACCTGCTGCGGAGTCCTGGCTTGGAGGACATTCCTCCAACATCCTTCCCAGCCCAGGCTCTGCCAGGTGGACAAAGCCTGTGGGGTTGGTCTCCAGGCTGGGTTGCCATTGCCAATGCCCACCTGCCCCCTCCCCACTCAACCCACCCACCCACCCACCCCCCGGCCAAAGGCCACCAAGATAACCTTTATTGTCCTTTTTTTTACTGTGGCCACAACTGGCACACCTCCAAAACGAAATCGTTGCCGGCTCTCCAAAGCGTACACACGTCCCTAACACACACATACAGACATGCTATATGCATACATACGTACAGATCTATAAACAAATATCCATATTAATCCCTGTGCAATTGATGCAACCTGCTGCGGGGGGTCCTGGCTTGGAGGACCATTCCTGCAACATCCTTCCCAGGCTGGATTCTGCCAGGTGGGGCTGGTGCCCCCCCACCCCAGGCTGGGTTGCCCACCTGCCTGCTCTTGCCAAGACCCCCCCACACACACACACACACCCTACACCCACCCCCCCAAAGGTCACCTCTCTTTCCTTATGATGGATGTATTCTGTGTTAATTCTTATTTTGGGCCAGCTGGGGAGGGTCTCTCTCTCTCTCTCCCCCCCCCTTGCAAGGGGTGGGGGGTTTCCCCCCCCTCCCCGTGCCCACACCCACCTTGTCCCAGCTCAGCCACTGCCCCACCGCCCGGTCCAGCTGGGCGTCCCCGGTGCTGCAGCCGATCAGCAGGTTGGAGTTGACATCCCCCACCAGCAGGTCCCGGGGGTCGCCCATGGCTGGCTGGCTGGGTGGGTGGGGGTCTCCAGCAGGTAAAAAAAAGGGGGTGGGGGTGGTCAGGTCGACCCAGCTGCGGCGGCGCTCCCGCTCACTGCACGTTGACGCCCGTCGTTTGGACGCCCACCCTCCCCCCTCCCTCTCCTCCCTCCCTCCCTCCCTCCTTCCCCCGCCTCCCTCCCTCTCTTTTCCTCCCTCCAGTCACGTGACCGCCCCGCTCTTCCCCCCCTGGCGCCCCTCCCCCGGCCGGGCGGAGGGGCTCTCAGGAAGGGCGGGAGGAGGACGAGCAAGGGGGAGGGGCTTCCCTTTAAAAAAAAAAGGGCGGGGGAGAGGCCTCTCTCTCTCAAAATAAGTGGGGGAGGGGGCTGTCAATCTCTCCTCGGCCCACCCACCTCTGCTCTTTTCCTCAGAGGGATTGTTGGGGGCGGGGGGGTTGTGAGGGAAAGGGGGAGGCCTACAGAAGCGTTCCGGAAATATTTATGGAGATAGCCAAGACCCCCTCCTCATCGTAAAGGGACCCTTCCCCCACCCCACCACACACACACACACACACACACTCCACGACCACCGGCACCGCCGCGCCCCGTTCGCCCGGCAACTGCCGCTGAGGCGAAGGCGGCGCGCATGCGCGGTGCCGACAAGCGCCAGCGAGCGCCCAGAAGGCGGCTTATTAGTGGGACCGGTCGGTGGGTGGGCGGAGAAACCCGAAGGTGCCGCCGTAAAGCCGGGAGGTCCCGCCCACCCGCGCCTTCGCCCGCTCGACCCGCGGGGGCTGCTGGGAAATGTAGTCGGGGTGCGTTTTCTCCCAGCACATCTTTCTTTCTTTCTTTCTTTCTTTCTTTCTTTCTTTCTTTCTTTCTTTCTTTCTTTATGTTCTTCCTTCCTTCCTTTATGTTCTTCCTTCCTTCCTTCCTTCCTTTATGTTCTTTCTTTCTATTAAATTTTTATGCCTCCCATCTCCTCTAGAAGGTAACTGGGCGGATTACAAATTCTTTCTTTCTTTCTTTCTTTCTTTCTTTCTTTCTTTCTTTCTTTATGTTCTTTCTTTCTTTCTTTCTTTCTATTAAATTTTTATGCCTCCCATCTCCTCTAGAAGGTAACTGGACGGATTACAAGTTCTTTCTTTCTTTCTTTCTTTCTTTCTTTCTTTCTTTATGTTCTTTCTTTCTTTCTTTCTTTCTATTAAATTTTTATGCCTCCCATCTCCTCTAGAAGGTAACTGGACGGATTACAAGTTCTTTCTTTCTTTCTTTCTTTCTTTCTTCTTCCTTCCTTCCCTTTATTTTCTTTTTTTATATATATATAATTTTTTTATTATTTTCAAGTATAACAAAATATAAACATAAACTTGATGCATATAAATACAGAACATCAGTACACAAAAGAAAAGATACTTTACGGATGATCCCGGCTGCCCCCTCTCGGCTTCCCCCTCTTTCACCTACCACCTTCCTCCCACTAAACTCTCAACCACTCCACCTTCCTCCTTCCACTCCCTACTTCCCAACCTCTTTCTCAAGCACCAGCCGGAAGCAGTTTGGGGTAACAGCCAGGATTATCCTCATAAATATACTTCCAAAATAATTAATAAACACATCAAATCTTATATATTTTTATCCTTTTCCCCCCTCCCCCCCCGGACTTCCCAGCGCTAAACCCAGGAATAATTACAAAATAATTTTAATCTATCCAAAGCCATCCATTCATACAATGAACAAATATAAACTTACTATAACTCTAAAATACAATAATAAACTTATAAAAATTAAATAATTAATCAAAAGCAAGATGATAATTTCTCAATTCATATTTTTTCCGGATATAATCTATCCATCTTCTCCATATCAGGATAAATGTCTCTTGTGAGTGATCCTTCTGTCTCCAATCATCCATAGTTGGAAGTGTCTTTCTTTTCCAATTCTGAGCAATCAGTGTTCTTGCTGCTGTGATGCAATACAACATAAGATTCATTTCTTTTCGATCCAGATTCTCCATAATACCCAGCAAGAATAATTGCGGTGTAAACTTTATCTTTTTCCTAAAAATCTGTTGGATATTCCACCATATTTTAATCCAGAAGGCTTTAACATCCCTACAAGTCCACCAAATATGGTAATAAGTCGCATCCATATTATCACATCTCCAACATTTTGGCTGCAAGTTCGGATACATGCAAGATAATTTTTGAGGATCCAAATGCCATC